CTGACCCCCAGCCCCAGCCCCCGAAGGAGGACAAGGCTCGGCCAAAGTCACCAGGAGGGGGCTGGGGAGGGGCGATGCAAAACCCTCGCACCTCCTGGCGGCTTGGAGCGCCGGGTGGAGGCCCCGAAGCATCCCCGGAGGGTCCCCCGCAGGAGAGGGGCAGCTAGGGGGCCGGCGCGATCCCGGCGGGGCGGCGCTCACCATGGCGAGTCGGGGCGGTGCGTCTCACGTAGAGTCGGGGTGACGGGTCTCGGTGAGAACTGCGCTCGCTGCAGTGCCGCACCGCTCTTATACGCGGGGCGGGGCTGGGCGTCCCGAGGCCCCGCCTCCCGCAGGGGAGGCGGCCCCGAGGGGTGGGCTCAGCCAGGTTCCCTCCCCCTGCCGCTCCAGCGTCCCTCACCTGTCCCGCTTGGGTTAGGAGTAGCGACCCCTGCTTTAACCCTTTGTTCCTCGTTCTGAGCCGGCACTCTGGGCTCCCGACGTCCGTGGCAGGGACGCAGGGTGCAGTGACAGGGCGCGTCTCGCCTGCACCAGCGTCACGGGGGCGCAGGTCGGCCAGGTGTCCCGACGTGGGCCGGGCATGGTCCAGGCGGTCCTTGCGAGGGGGCTGCTGCTGGCCTGCGCTAGTGCCCTCCCCATCCCGTCTCCCCAGAGCCTCCAGCCGGCCGCACGGCTCCGGGCGGTCCCTGGGGAAGCGCTTCCAGAGGCTCGACGCCTGTTGGGCCCCGGCCGGGACGGCAGGACTTCGCCGATGCCGACGGGCGGCCGAGGCCCCGGAGCTGCACAGCCTGAGCCCCAGGTTGCCAATCCCTTGGACTTTCCCACAGAGCCAAGTCCCGCAGCTGGTCCGCGAGGGCTGACCCCGAGCATCTGCCGCTCTCACCTGCCGTCGGCAGGCCAGCAACCCGTCATCAGCGCCGTCACTATCAGCTAGCCCTGCGGCGGCCACCCACTTGCTTTCCTGCTGCCAGAACCGCAGGAACGCGGGACCGGAGCCCTCAGAGCCTGGGTCCATACCCAGACTGCGCTCTGTGACCTTGGGTAAACGACTTAATCTCGCCGAGTCCTTGACATTTCATCGGTTAAAAGGAGACAATTGTTCCATCCTGGGAGCTTTGTTGTGAGGCATCAACATGTTTCTTGACTCTGAAAAGAAGAAAATCGAGATTCTGATATCATGGATGATTTTTACTTCCCTCCTCTTCTGTCTCTGAGGCACAGGCAGGATCTGCCCCCCTCATCTTTTTATTTTTATTTTTGGAGTAGGAGTCTCACTCTGTCGCCCAGGCTGGAGGCTGGAGGGCACACTCATGGCCACCGCAGCTTCTACCTGCTGGGCACAGGCGATCCTTTTGTCTCAGCCTTCTTTTCCAAGTAGTTGGAACCACAGGTGCACGCCACCATGTCCAGCTAATTTTATTTTTGATTTATTGTAGAGACGAGGTCTCGCCAAGTTGCCCAGGCTGGTCTCGAACCCCTGGGTTCAGGCAATCCTCTTGCCTCCGCCTCCCAAAGTACTGGGATTATAGGAGTGAGCCACCGTGCCCAGCTGCCCCCCTCATCTTAATGGCCTCAGTGCTCAGCTCCAGTCTCAGCAGTAGCTAGTCTTTCTACATTTCATTTCTTTTTTTGCAATAACAGAACTTTTCAAGGTAATTCTGCTTTCTCTTACTCGCCTGACATGTTCTAGTTTTCTCTTTCACTGGAGAAATTCATCATGCGGTGCCTCATGTGCTGGTTGGCACATCCCTAAGAAACCTGTCTCCTGGGCTAGTCATCACTTGGAAAGGATTCTCCTGCCTCTCCTCCATCTCCTTCACAGTGCCAGGGCAGTCTGATAATACAACACAATACCATAAAATAACTAGTGATGGCAACTTTCTATCAACAAAATAACAAATTGGCACTCGACTTAGCCAAGGCATGGAAAGAAATACTGTGAAATATGACAAGGTCCCTCTTCCCAGTAGACTTGCCATCTGGTTGGGAGAACTAGACTCATTCATAAAAAGAAAACTGGCAAGGCCATACAGTGAGGTTGCTTTGGGGAATAGGGTCATGGTCTCTACAGAGGAAGGAGCTGTAGTGGTTATAGGACACATGGCTTCTTGCAGACCTTCCCTGGCCCTCTTTTTTTCCTTGTGCAACCTCACCCCAGAAGAATAAATATAAGAAGAGACCTGAGCTACCTTAGACAACACCCTAAAGCTCTTTCACCTTAGGTACAGCTTCTTCATTTGTAAAACTAGGATGACAGCTTCAGAATGTGATTATCAGATGAACTAGGAATGTGTACATTCATGGCAAAGTACTATGTAAGTAGCTGTCTGGATTCTTAGAGCACTGTGTTCACATTTATCTTAGTGCATATAGCACATCACGCCCGGGCTGGTCTTGAACTCCTGGGTTCAGGCAGTCCTCTCGCCTCGGTCTCCCAAAGTGCTGGGATTTCAGGCTTCAGCCTCTTCACCCAGCAAGGTGAGCTTCTTAAGTGCATAGACTTTTTTGTCCACTGCTGTGTCCTTGGCATATGGAACAGGAACTTAATAAATATTTGTTGAAGGAATTAAGAGGATTGATGGTCTCTTACAACTTAGACATATTAATATGCTTTAAAAATCTCAGTCTCTCTACTCTGTTTTACATAAAACACCTGCCTGCCATTAGGATCATTTTATTTTCAGAGTAGGCTGACTCTGAGGTGTCCAGCTCCAAAGACCAGTTGGGATAATTTCCTTTCTTTTTTTCTTTTTAGTTGAGGTCTCACTCTGTTGCCCAGGCTGGAGTGCAGTAGCATGATCATGGCTCACTACAGCCTCGACCTCCTGGGCTTAGGTGATCATCTTGTCTCAGTCTCCTGACTAGATGGGACTACAGGTGCATGCCACCATGCCTAACTAATTTTTTTGATTTTTTTTTTTCTTGTTCAGATGAGGTCTTGCTTTGTTACCCAGGCTGGTCTCAAACTCCTGGACTCAAGCAGCCTTTCCACCTCAGCCTCCCAAAGTGCTGGGATTACAGGCATGAGCCACTGTGCTTGGGCGAAGTTTAAGTGCTACATGAGAGAGTTTTGAGCTTAATGAGTCCAAATCACTCCATCTGGACAATAATTCCTGAGGTCTAGGGCTTCATAAACCAAGCTGGTGGGAGGCTGAGCTTCTTTATCCTTGACGTGTTGCGTGACTGTTTTTCCGTTCTGGGTCTCTTTTCTCCAGGTGGGAGAGAAAGGCATAGTTAGCCATCTTTGAGATTCTGGATCATTCTCTTGAGTGCTGATGAGAGGCACTCTGAAAAGGCCTCAGGATAACTCCACCATGTGTCACAGTGACTGAAACTTCATATTAGCAACTACTTCCTGGATAGGATTCCTAGATAAAATTTCAAGTTGAGGCCGGTTTGATGGCTCAGCTTGTAATCCCAGCACTTTGGGAGGCCAAGGCAAGTGGATTGCCTGAGTCTGTGGTTCAAGACCAGGCTGGACAACTTGGCGAGAACTCATCTCTACAATAAATAAAAGATTAGCCAGGCATGGTAGCATTTGCCTGTAATTCCAACTACTTGGAAGACTGAGGCGAAGGATCGCCTGAGCCCAGCAGGTCAGTGCCGGGGTGGTCGTGAGCGTGCCACTGCACTCCAGCCTGGGTGATGGAGTGAGACTCCAACTAAAAAAAAAAATCTATATATCTATATCTATATAGACTGAGATATAGATATAGATATATAGAGGGAGAGGGAGAGAGAGAGAGAGAGAGAGTGAGAGTTGATGCATAAGTTCATGGTGTTTTTCACCTGCCCATGAAATGTAAATGTCACACGATGGTTAACTGGTCACGGTTTATCACATTTGCCAATTATCAGTTTGACTGACATGGATTAAAGTGTTCAAACAGTCTCCATCAAAGCCCAATGATCTTCCTTAACATTGAGAATCACTCAGGTCAAAGTGGCCCTCTGAAATGACAAGTCCATTTTTTTGTCGTGCCTTCCCCTATGACACAAATGTTTCCAGCCACCTCCACTGCCTTTACTCCACCATTAAACTCAAACAGAAGAATGTGTCAGAAGTGTTCATTTTTTCCCACTTGATACTCCGTCCTCTTTTCTCCGCAAATAGCACTAATTTTCTTCAAATCTGCAAAATGCGAGGCATATTCACAAGCACGACATTGTCACTCCAAGTGACAAATGACAAAGAATAAACTCCTAACAGTGTTGCCATGCCAAACTCCTAACTCCTAGCAGTGTTGCCATGCCAAAAACAAACGCTGTGAACTTATGCATCCGCCTAATATTTTCATTTGCTAAATCTGGCAACCCTATTCCTGGTTATGGTTGTATCTGGAAGAGTGACAGGAGAAATGTATAATAGTCTACTCCCCTTATCCATGGGGAATATGTTTCAAGATCCCCAGGGAATGCCTGAAACCTTGGATAGTACCCAAGCCTATACTGTACATAGTGTTTTTCTCTATACATGTGAACCTGTGATAAAGTTTAACTTATAAATTGGGCACAGTAAGAGGTTAACAACAACAGTAATAAAATAGAACAACTAAAACAATATTCCAACATCACTTCTCTTATGCGCTGAGGCTATTATTGAGCAAAACAAGGGTTACTTGTATACAAGCACTGTGATAGCACCCAGTCAATCAGATAACTGACTCAGCTACTGTGTCTAATGGGCAGGTAGCGTCTACAGCATGGAAATGCTGGACAAAGGGATGTCCCAGGTGGGACAGAGCAGGACGGCATAAGATTCCATCACGCTACTCAGAGCGGTGTACAATTTAAGACTTATGAATTGTGTATTTCTGGAATTTTCCATTTAATATTTTCAGACCGTGGTTGACTGAAACCGTGGAAAGCAAAGCTGTGGGTAAGGGGGGACTGTGTCATGTGGTTTCCATGCAGCCTTAGGGTCCACTTGAGGTTGGTAGTTGTGCACTTGAAAGATTAGTCAGTGTGGTTTGGGGTTTTTCTACAGCCACTGTTTAGCTGAGGGCAGGCACAGAGTTGGTGAAGTAATGAATTTAACTGGGGTTGTGGTTGAGTCAAACAAGGATGCTGAAGCTAGAGGGAGGTAAGAGAGTGGAGGGATATGCAAGGAAGTGATGCTGGCTGGCCATGGAATTCAAGACCGGGACGGGACAGACAAGAGAAAGATGTAGGAGGGGCTGTGGGCCAGGGAGTATCCACATGTGGAAAGAGAAGAAGCAGAGTCCGAGTCCCAGATGAATCTGAATTCCACCACTAACTAAACCCCATGTGATCTTGGGCAGGACATTGGAGACTTCAGTTCCTTTACTTCATTACGGAAAGGGAAGCCCTGCCTTGCCTACCTCACCAAGTTGCTGAGTAGCTCAGAGGAGATAAGGGGAGAGGGTGCCTTAAAGCAGGGCGCCTAAAGCAGGCTGGGAGCCGGGCTTGGTGGCTCAGCCTGTAATCCTGCCCCTTTGGGAGGCTGAGGTGAGTGGATTGCCTGAGCCTGTGGGTTCAAGACCCACCTGGGCAGTGAGACCTCATCTCTACAATAAATAAAAAAATCAGCCAGGCG